GGGAGGAGGGTGAAAGGGATAATTCGGACATGTGTGTGGTGATGGGTTGTAATTAGTATTTTGGTGGTGAACATGATGTAGTCCATGCAGAAATGGAAGTACAATGATGTACACCTGAAAGTTTTACAATGTTATAAACCAATGTTACTGCAATAAACAAAAAATTAAAAGAAAAAAAAATTAAACACCAATATTTCTCATGATCAAAGATGCAAATTTTTTAAAAAATTAGCAAATTGAATCCAACAATATATAAAAGACAATATATCATACCTAAACACAAGCTGTGCAAAGTTATTTTAACAGTTGAAAATCAATGACGTAATTAATCATATTAACAGACTTAAATAAGGGAAAATCATATGATAGGTCCTAATAGATATAGGAGAAACATTAGACAAAATCCAACATGCTTTCTGGATAAAAACTCAGCAGAGTAGGAATAGAATGGAATTTCCTCAGCTAGATGAAGGGCACATACAAAAAAACTTATAGGTAACATCGTCACATTTGGTAGTGAAATACTCATGCACTTTCCCTAAGTTCAAGAGCAAGGCAAGGATATCTGCTCTCACTACTCCTATTCAATATTATATTAGAGTTTCTATCCAGTTCAATAAGACAAGAAAAAGAAGTAAAAGGCATCCAGATTGGGGAAAAGAAAGTAAGAATATTTCCTATTTACTGATAGCGCAATCATCTATATAAAAAAATGAATGGAATCTACAAAAAGGCTACTAAATCTATTAAGTGAATTTGGAAAGGTTTCAAGATAAAAGATCTATGTCCATATACTAGCAACAAACATTCAGAAAATAGTGTGGGTATATTTGTGTGTGTGTGCATGTGAGAGAGAGAGAGAGAGAGAGAGAGAGAAAAGAACATTGCTACTTACGTTGTAGATATTAAACATATTTAGATGTTAATGTGATGACTTTAACAATAAAGCCTATAGAGGTAAACAAAAGGCAGAATATCTTCACGACTTTGGAGAAGTCATTTTTTTTCCCCCCAAAGCCCCAGTAGATAGTTGTATGTTGTAGTTGCACAACCTTCTAGTTGCTGTATGTGGGACACGGCCTCAGCACGGCCAGAAAAGCAGTACATCAGTGCGCACCTGGGATCCAAACCCAGGCTGCCAGCAGCGGAGCACACGCACCCAATCATTAAGCCACGGGGCCAGCCCTGGAGAAGTCACTTTTTTAAACAAATTCAAAAAGCTGTAACCATAAAGAAAAAAAACTGATATATTGACTAACCTCAAAATTAAGAACTTCTGTAAAAGACATTAATAAGAAAATGAAAAAGGAAAAAACACTGAATTAAGATATAAAGAAAATCAATTAGCCCATCAAAGGACTTGTATCCAAAATATATGGAGAATTTCTACCTTAATAGTAAAAAGAAAGATGTCCCTACAGGCAAAAAAGGAAAAGACTTGAATAGATACCTCAGAAAATAAGATATCTAAACTCTGTAAAGGTACTTCACCCAATTAGTCATTAAGTAAACACAAAGAAAAACTACAATGAGATGTCTCCACACACCTACTAATATGGCTAAAATTAAATATTTTTAGCTATATTTTGTTTTGATGAGGACGTGGAGTAACTTCGACTTTTATATATATATTAAAGTGCAAATTAGTGCATATGACTTGAAAAGATGTTTGAAAATATCTACTACACCTGGAACAATGCATACCCTAAGATCCAACAATTCCATCCTAAGATATAAAACCAAGAGAAATGTGTATATGTATATGCAATGAAAGACTTGTATAAGAATGTGCATTGCACATTTTAATTACTGACAACTAGCAACAACCCAACTGTCCACCAATAGTACCATAGAAAAATACGTAAGCTGTCGATTATTCACAGACACTTAATGGAATGCCTTACATCTGTTGTTCTCAAACGTTAGCATGAATCAGATTCGCCTGGAGTCTTATTAAAACTGATTGCTGGGCCACATCCCCATAGTTTCTGATTCAGCTGGCCTGAATTGGACCTGAGAATTTACAATTCTAAGGAGCAACTTTTGCTCAGGGTACGACATTTTGTGATCCAGCAGTCTACATTAAAGAAAACAAAACAAAAACAAGATAACAAGCATGATAAGAAGTGATCTCACAAACATTATGTTAAATGAAATAAGCTAAATTTTCAAAATTATACACTTTATGATTACAGACAAAACAGGCAAACTAATTTATGGTGCAAACATTCAGCATAGTGGTTATATTTAGAGTTAAGGATTCTTGCCTGGAAATGTAAAGGAACAGAGCTTTTGAGGTGCTGGTAATGCCCAGTTTCTTGATCTGAGTGCTCGTTTCATGGGAATCTTCATTTTGTGAAAATTCATCAATTTGTATTCTTAGGATTTATGTACATTTCTCCCTAAATGTTAGGCTTGAATTAACATGGTTATTTAAAAAAGACTAATCCATAAATATATAATTATGTATAATTTATAAATTTATAATTTATAATCCATAAATATTTATATATATAATAATAAATCCATATTTGTAAATTACAGTTATGCTGAATTCATGAAGAAATAATTCTGGGATTATTTAAATATCTATCATTTAAAAGTAGACAGTAGGTGAAGGGATTTAGACAGAATGACAGGCATTTTAGAGAACAGAAAATCTGACAGATTCTCAATGCTTGTGCACTGAGTGCAATCTCTATCTACAACACTGGTGTCCACTGGTGTTATTTTGACCCTTGGGATATAAGGCCCACATTTTTTGTGTGTTTGTGTGAGGAAGATCAGCACTGAGCTAACATCTGCCAATCCTCCTCTTTTTTTTTGCTGAGGAAGACTGGCCCTGGGCCAACATCCATACCCATCTTCCTCCACTTTATATAGGAGGCCGCTACAGCATGGCTTGACAAGTGGTGCGTCGGTGCGCACCCAGGATCCGAACTGGCGAACCGCGGGCTGCCGCAGCGGGCCGTGCGCACTTAACTGCTTGCGCCACCGGGCCGGCCCCTCACACTGTTATTTTTGCAATGACTTATCCAGGGGTTGCAATCCCTCATCTTAATTTCTTCATAACTAGTAAAAGAAATTACAACACAAATAAGGATTTTTTTTTTTAATTTGTTACCTTGCAGTTATTCTTCCAAAATGAACAAGAGAGAAGTTGAACACGTAGGTGTGTTTTCACTAATCGAGGAGACCACATGTTTTTCAACTCCTCAACGCCTACAAGCACAAAAGTTAAACTACATTATAAATGTGGAATCATAAATGTTAATAACAATGTAATTTAAGACTTTCTAAACATTAATCCCACTATGTGGCTTGAAATGGCTATATGGCTTCATATACTTCTAAAACCTACAATGACATCAAAAAAGATAAATTCTGGTTAGTTAGACTGCTTTTTTGTTTATATTTTATTGCAGGGTTTATTTTCCTCATAAGTGTCTATAAAAATCCTCAGATATAACACCTTCAGGCAGAAACAGCAGTTAAGAGTCAAGAGTCAAGATGTCCAAATTTTTACTTTATTTACCTTCCTCTTTTTCTCATTTACAACATGAGGAAACTGAACGAGAGGATTTCAAAAATCCCTTTCCAGCTTTCTCATATTCCAATTCTAAGGTCAAATTAAGCCATGAGGCTCATGTAATTTTTAAAAATTTTAATAATGCAAGACCATATATTCCCATGATCCTTTTTCTTGAGTCTGTGAACATGAGCTAACTATCAGTAGACGCGATTCGATACTGGATCAAACACTGAATTTTCTATATATAATGACCACACAATATCTAAATGTTGAAGAATTCTACCAGTCTTATTAAGAAAAAATACCCTACGCCAAATCTCTTATGTAGATATTTTCTTTGGGTGGAGGAGATGTAAAATATGGTTATTAACAAAAACTAATTCTTATTCTTCTATTATAGACACTTATCATTCAACCATCCAAGCTCTGTCTGTATCAGTTTCCATCACGACTCCTCCAGTCACCACAAAAATATAGGGGGATTTATTACTGTGGTGAAAAGAAACATTAAGAGAAAATACCATTTGTGAATCCAGGAATTATCAATTCCATGAATGGCACTCGTTTGTATATTGCATTCCATTTACATTTCTCCACATCCTCATTGTTATAGATCAAGTCCAATATTTCACTGATCCAGGTTGTTCCTAAGGAAAATAAATTAAAGGAACTCTAAACTTTTCTGTCAAATAGAGTATGAGAGGGTCAATAGAGGTAGAGAAGTTGTGTAACATCAATAACAAAAATGTGCTTTTCATTTTTGTTCCCTCTCTCTTCTCCCTTTTCCTAGGAGACATTCTTATCTATCTTAAACATATGCATACATAGTGTGTGTGTGTGTGTGTGTGTGTATGTGTGTAAAATCTGATTAAAATAGTCACAAAAGTAAGACTTGAAAAGTAAGTAAAACATGGGGTATTAGAGAGTATTTAAGTAATGATTGCGCACCCTCCTGGGTGGAATGGATGGGGGAAGTCAATTTCAATGAGTCTGACCAGTAATTTGTACATTTTCTGTTAATATCAGAAAGATTATTAGGCTTTGAGACTGAAGAGTACTTCATATGCAAATGTTCAACATTTGGTGGAGGGGTGAAGAAGGGAAACAAAGAGAACTTTGCGATTGCATCTGTGGTGACCAGTGTGTCACTCGCAAACAAGACTGTAGATCCTGATGGAGCAGAGTGGCTCAAGTCACTCTGATCATTATGAGATTGTGTTTCACCAGTCTTTTGAGAAATGGAACTAAAATACATGAGAATGTGGTCTACTTAATTGTCTATGGCACTCAGCAATCGGGTTATCAAGGCACTGCTAAAAAAGCAATTATAAGACATAGGAGAAAGATTCTTAACTGTCCCCATCCCCTTCCTCTTTGCCAAATGTGCAATGATATTCTCTAAATTGAATAATCATAAGTGTAAACTAAGAAATTAAATTAATTAATCTATGTGCATAGCAACATTTTTGAAGAATGATCTGCACATGGATGTACTTTTGGATTGGTTCCAGATGTTAGAGGACTTTTAGTCTCCTTTTTAATCCTTTCTTGTGAACAACTCTTCTTCCTTCTTGTTCCTAAATCATGAGTCTGAGACTATTTATCCCATCCTTCTAAGAGACAATTACAGTGCTAAGAAAAAGGCGAGCCAGGGCCGGCCCTGTGGCTTGGTGGTTAAGTGCACGCGCTGCGATGCTGGCGGCCCGGGTTCAGATCCCGGGTGCGCATCGAGGCACCACTTCTCTGTCCAGCCTGAGGCCGAGTCCCACATACAGCAACTAGAAGG